GCAGAACAGGAACCTGCTGTAAAACAGCAATTATGCTGAGTCAGGCTTGATTTTTAGTAATCTTTTCCTGTTAAATAAATAAATTAAATCAAATCAAATACAAATTCATAAATTATGATGTAGACTCACTAATGACAGACACTAATGTAATGGTTGAGCATCATAAACAAAATAGTCACATTGTCAGACAGGACAGTTTATTCAGATATTTTCTACATCCAGTATTTGTGATTTTCAACATTTCCTGAGAAAAAGGAGGAACTCATTGATTTGTATGAAAAAACACCTGTGAAATGCAAAATACTTAGTTGAAGGCACTGTTTTAGTCCTTTAAATGAGTTATCTATTTTAAATTTCCATAACTATAAAATTCACAATTTCCTCAGCTTTATTTTGAACCTTAGTTTGTAAAAATCGAGCAAGAAATAATGAAGTTATAAGAGTTTTTCATCAGTAAGACGCCTCACAGTCCATTGACCTCCATTCATTTTGTTGAGGCTCCTCAGTGCAGAACAGAGCTCCAGTGTGGGTACGTCAATGTAGCTAGCAACATGCTAACCACGCCCAATCCAGTAATATATATCAATGGTTTTAATGCTCCCGGTGTGGGGCTGGTACGGTTTTCACACTTCTTTTCTTCCCCACAGAGTAACTGTTACTGCTGCCTGCAACATGGATTTCAGTCGTTTCCCTCTGGACTCACAGACCTGTACCCTGGAGCTGGAGAGTTGTAAGTTTAAGACCTTACTGTATAAATCCTGATTATTWGAGACTTCTGGAATGGGTGACAGTTATTCAAATCATGAAGGAAATCATGAGATATTTCATCAACAGACAGTGTGAACTCTAATAGTTAAAAACAACATATTTCAGAAAATGCTGCTCGGCCTGTTAGTGCACCACGTCTGTGATCAGTTTCAGTTTGGTAAAACTGACTAAGTTATGGCCATTTTTGTGTTTTGTGGGGTCTGAGGYGGCCATCTTGAATTGGGTTGACTTCAGAAGATATTCTGTTGTAGATCAAATGTATTTATTTATTATTTTTATTAATGTCCTGATGCATCTCAGTAATCCAGGTAAAAAAATCAAAAAGAAAAAAAT